ATTTTCCCCGAGGCTAGACTAACCTTGAGTGGATCACAAGAACTCACAGTGCTAATAGATAAGGCCTCCAAGCAACGAGAAGAGATAAGAAAATGGGTGGCACCGGTATCACATAATGCAAAGACAGGCACGTTGGAGATAGAAAGCATTCCGGACATAGTACCTGTGTTGCGGGTAGCCTTATCGTGGGTAATGGTATAGACGCGGGCCTGACCCCCAGCCCTCTGCTGGAACGGTTGGGGAAGCTGCTGATGCTGCTGAGGAGGCGGTAGGGGAAACTACTGTTGCTGCTGAGGGTAGGGCGGCTGCTGCTGCTGTTGTCTCTTCGGCTCAAGGCAGACATTGGCATAGTGACCCGAACGGTTGCAGTTGAATCAAGTGCGCTGGTTAGCTAGGCACACGCCGCTGTGGATTTGCCGCATCTCGGGCAGGCTTGGTTGTCGGTGGGATGGTTGTCTCGCTTTCCAAAATTTTCCTTCTTTCCTTTCTTCTTGTTCTGGAAATCGGACTTCCTCTTGCCCGAGCTAGAGCCGGGAGGCACAGATTAGATGGGTTGAGCATACTAAATAGGAGTCTGGGCAGGCTGAGAAGTATGGTAATAGGAGGGGACTGGAGTTATAGAAATGCGACAACTCTCCACTTCATGTGCCCGCTGCATAGTGTCGACATATGACATCGCTCCGTGACTCCCTACCAGCTCACGGATTCGTTGATTCAGTCCTTTAAGAAACTTTGCGGGCTTTTTTCGCATTGGTGTTCATAGAGTCGCCAGCAAAGAGACACATCCGGGTGAAGGTGCGAATATACTCATCTACGGTGGTGTTGCCCTGCTGCAGATGGTAAAACTCATGCTCCATGCGATCCCAGAAGCTCTGAGGAAGGAACTTGCCTCGAACCATAACCTTCATTTGCTCCCAGTGAGAACGTTAAGCTCAGCCTCTGGCTTCTGAGCCCGGTGGTCGATCCACCAGTCAGAAGCATCAGCCTTCATTTGGAAAGCAGCGAGAGAAACACGCTGTCTGTCCGGGAGAGGGAGCGCAACGAAGATTTTGTCTAGCTCCTAATCCATTCCAGTATCGTGGTGGGGTTCTCAGTCCCCGAGAAAGTCGGTGCATGCATGTTCTGAAACTAAACTATGAGCCGGGTAAGGTCCATGGCCGGAGCGGCCTGGTGATGACGAGGTGGTAGGG